AGTAGAGCGATCTACTATATACAGGTATATTGTAAAAGTTATTCTAAATATTATTGTACAATTGTGTATAATTGTTAAATAGTATCACACACTAAACTTAAACAATAATTTATTATTAAAAGAAATAGTTTACTAATGCATAATCCTCAAATGCTGAAAAAATTTGTCTATTTTGTAAAGATAATAAAAAATTTGAGTTAAGGTGTTTTGAGAATTAATTTTCTCTTTTATTATTTTACAATAGAACTGATAAAGAACTATTAAAAATATTAATTTTTTAAATGTAATAATTATAGTTTTATATATATATATACATATAAATCTATATATAAATACACATAAAATCTTAATAACAATTTCACATATCTTGTTACGTGTAATTGTGCAATAATAATGTTTAGGATCATTTTTTACAATATAATATATCATTCATCTCACAACGCATATTACTATTTAAATTTGTTTTCATTTTTATATGATACCTCATGGAATCAAATAAACCTTTCATTCATTTATTACATTAAAAATGTCAAACACTAGATAAAGCGAGTGTGAAACATGCGATGGCCCTAAACTTCATGACAAAAGTACTCATTTATTAATCTCTCCTGCAAAAACTTGGCAAACTCAATTTTGCTATTTTTTGCAAAAAAAATTATTTCTTTTGGCATTAGAGATTCATATGCGGGAATTTTTTAGAACATGCTGTATCTTCGCGCACGCGCGCGCGCGCGCGCGCGCGCGCGCGTGTGTGTGTGTGTGTGTGTGTGTGATGTGTGGTGTGTCAGGGTTAGGTAAGTTAATATTTCTTTTTAACTAAATTAACCAAACTAAGTTAAAATTAATGACTTATAAATTAATTTAGTTACGTTAAAAGTTGCATGAACAAAAACGTAATTTAGTTAAAATTGAGTTAGAGATTAAATTAACAACATACTTGAGATAAATTAAAAGTTAATTTCGACATTATTTATATTAATTTAGAATATTGTAATTTTTTTAAATTAAATTATTCTAAATTTAATTTTTCAAAAATTGCTAAAGGCGCGATTTTTTAAGTTTTCAATTTTTCTCGAAAATGTGACAGGCAAATTAATTCTGAGGGCAGCTTCATTTTCAGCGCTTAAAAATCTATAAAAAAACCTCTCCTTTTTCAGGAGACATTTAGCATATCGACTATTGTATCTAATCATAGACATTCTATCCTGCTAACGATAAAGTATTACGTTCGAGAATCAAGGAACATATTATACTATTGCTGCTATCAGCGTTAATTGTGTCATTCAATCTATAGCGCTGATAATACCAGCTACCTGAATGCAAAGTCTAAAAGTGTATTAATTTAGTTTTACACATAATATGTATTTATCCTTGTTGTTCATTAAATGTTAAATAAATTATACGCATTATACGCATTATACGCGAAACGGAATACTCTAAGTTTGTCAATTTTTGTACACCTGCAAGCATCGCGCCGATTATTAAGCTTTTTCTAAACTAATTTTTTAATATTTAAAATTTTATTGAAAAAAATAGCGTTTAGAGAAATAAACAAATTTTATAATTTAGGAAAAATATTAATAAGTTAAATTTTATGCGCTTTAAAAATAACTATAGTTGAAGTTAAAAATTAAATTAATTCATTTAAAATTAAATAATTGTAAGTGGAGTAAAAGATATTAATTTTTTAACATTTTTATTTAACTTTTAATTAACTAGTTATTATACCCAACCCTGATATAAATATATATAATACACAATCACACACACACACACACATACATACATTTAAAAGTATGTCTTACTCTCATTATAATTATAAAAATTGATTAATTATAATTACAATCAAAATGGAATTCGATGCAACATAATTTTTACAATCTTGATTGTAGAGCAAAGATTTTGTTAAAGAGGAAATTACAACTACCCTTTCGCCATTTAATTTGTAAAGACTAAAATACATGAGAGATTAAACTGAAATTAAAAAATTCAGATTAATTTTTTTTCAAAAGTTATCAAAAGTCGATTGGGACGCGGCGTATGCGCTCCCTCTCATGGAGTGCCAATACACGTACGTATAACGTGCTTTTAATGCTTTTGATTGCAATAATTTCAAAACCATAATTGTATGTTCAAAATGCGCGTATTTCAATTTTAAAAAGTAGGTACTATTTATGCATTTGATTAATGGTTTAATAAAATAAATGAGCAGTTTTTGATTCACAATCAGCTGTGTAAGCGTGATGTACAGAACACTACACAGAAAATGTAATTAACGCAATAAAAACATATATATATATATATATATGTATAAATCACACTTATATAAAATTCTTTATTAAAAATCACTCACGCAAGTACGTGACAACGCGTTACTAGATGAATGCGACAGAGTTCTATTTTTTATAAATAAAAATCATACAGGCTAGAGTAAAAGTAGCAGCTTTATAAAATTTTTCGCTTATGTTTTCATGAAATGATTTTTTTTGAAAGCGCGAATCCCTAAAATAAGGTTTCACAATGACAAAAAAGTGTTTAGATATTTACGACTAAAATTTAACTTATACCACACATAGATTTTTGCTACTGCAACTAATCGTTTTGTTTTCATGATTGCACGAATTTAATATCGGATAAATACACGCTTTAAATGTGCATTTATAACCGTTTTTATATACGTAATACGGATTTAAAAATGTATATTTAAAGCGAATTGGCACTCCTTGAGTTGTCCTTCGATTGTTGAATCAAATTATCGTTCCAATATGCCCAAAAAATGTATTTTGAAAATATTACAATTATATTATTCGATTAACTATGCTTGAAATTACTGTTTACTAGTCATTAATATTTATAAACAAATTATCGAAATAAAAAACAAATTGTGTCTTTTACATTTGTATTATTTGTGATGTATTAACGAGACATCCCAGATTTGGAAATAAATATAAAACGATAGATACTATTAAAAAGTTAACGCTCTTAATTTACATTTTGTAAATTAAGGATTTTCGACCTATTTATCCATTAAGAAATAAGATTGCGTTTACCTCAATACATATCTCAATACCTTAATCTATTTTAAATTTTATATTTATTTTACAAATTTTTTATAATACGATTTTTTATATACGCCATTTTTTTTATTCTTCTTCGAAAAATTGCATTTATCGCAAAAAAAGAGGTCAAACCAAAGTAGTCGCGTTATCGGGCTGATTTTCTAAGTGTAAATAAAACAATCCTCCATAGACACTCTATTATCTTTGGTACATTTTTCTGTTTTTCTTTTTTCAAGGAGGTAGATAATATAGAATTGTCTTTCCCTCTATTATCGCACGAGAGCTTGACTTATGAAACGCGCACAATTAATAAGTGCATCTCGTCTCGGCTCTGTGAAATTCCCAATCAAGGGAGAATGACAAACAACTCTTCTCTCTCTCTCTCTCTCTCTCTCTCTCTCTCTCTCTCTCTCTCTCT